TAGAAAATATGGAACAAAACTCAAAATTGTAACAAAAAGACTATGCTTACTGATCAGAAGAGACTAGAGGAACCTGAGACTAGGGCCCCCGACCACCCTTCAGGACTGGAAAGGAGTTCAGCCTCATATCCCAGTGTTCAGTCAAGTACTAAATAAGTCTATGTTGTTGTTGTTGATGTCATGTGGCTTGAGTTGGTTCTGAACCATAGCGACCCTGTATAGGGTTTCCCAGGAGCAGCTGGTGAGCTTGAACAGCTGACCTTGAGGTTCAAACCGACTTTGCAGGCCAGCATATTAACATTGCCACACTAGGACTCCAAAATAAGTATACTGTTGTTGTTGTTAAATACCGTAGAGTCAGTTCCAACCCATAGTGACCCTGTATAGGGTTTCCAAGGAGCGAACAGTGAACTTGAGCCACCGACCTTGTAGTTCAAAAGGCTCTGCAGTCTGGCACATTAACTCACAGCACCACAAGTATATAGGGGGTACAAACAACACTAGTAAGGTTATGCTTACCATGGAATGGTCATTAATTCAAGAACAAAAGGGCAATGTTTACATAAGCAAAACTTGAGAAGGAACGGAGAGTGAATGGAAAAGGAAGCCCAGGGTGGAAGTGGGATCACGGGTGTTGCACTGGAAGGAATGCAGTCATGGAGCTGAAACAAAGAGTAAGATTTGTGGAATGTAAAACTGATGATGCTCTCTGTAGGCCTTCAATCAAGTCACAAGAAAACGTTTTTAAAATAAATATAACACACAGAACTGACAAAGGAACTAAAAAATAAAAAACCTTTTTTTAATAATCAGTAAATCACAGCCCATTTTTCTACTCTTATCTAAGTCTTAACCTCCCCTCAAGATTCAACTTAAACTTCTTTGATGAAAGTTTCACCACTGTTCCAACAATTTGTAATTTCTGTTATTTTTTAATTTCCATACTGATTATGTAAATCCGACACATTCCATGGGGTCCTGGTCTGGCACTGTGGACCAGTCTGCAAAGCCATTTGAACTGCAAGGTTGGCGGTTCACCAGCTGCTGCTCAGAAACCCTATACAGGGTTGCTATGAGTCAAAATAGACTCCCTGGCACTTACCGACAACAGTATTACTTGGAGTACTGGTGTAGTGCTAACCACAATGTTGGCCATTCAAACCCACTAGCCACTCCTTAGAAGCCTTATATAAGGTCGCTATGAGTTGTACAATACCACCACCACAAGTTGGAAACGACTCAGCAGCACAACAACAATGTGTACCGGCTCAATTCTCTATGTACACGTACTATCTCCCTAACTTGGTTTGGAAATGGTATCAGTTAGGTTGAAACTGAATGATAAAGTCAGCCATGTGAATTATTAATTTTATTTACAAAATACCTACAGGCTTGCCCCTTAGAAGCAGAACTGACAAAACTTTACCATCTGTCATGTATTCTGGAGACTTAAGACTATTGAATGGAGAACACAGTAAAACAAGTGATTCAAGTTTTAGAAGGTTTTGCCCACAATTGTGAGTTAATTTAAAGCAATGACAATATCAATGGTAGCAATAGTAAATCCTTCCATAAGAATTCTTTAATATAAATTTTGACATTTGACTAAATTTAGTAAATCTACAAGAACACAGACCTAACATGTAAATTTAAAAAGACTATGAGAAGAAACTGCATACCCAAAACTCATATTGTGACAAATTTGATATTATATGGCATAATCATTGAAGTAACAAACTATACAAAGATACATTCCTAGAGGGAGTGAAGTGGCTCCATGTGATAAGCATTGGACTGTGAACCACAAGTTCAGCATTTCAAGCCCACCAGCCTCTCTTCAGAAGAAAGATGAGTCTTTCTGTTCCTGTGAAGCTTTAAAGCCCTGGAAACCCTATACAGGGTCACTATGAGTTGGAATTGATTCGGTGGCACTTAAAAACTGTAACAAACATTCCTAGTAGCAGGGGATTGATAAATTAAAACTTCAAAAACTTGTATGATCTTACACAATTTCAACATATTTTCCAACTAAATATATATTCAGTGATCTACTTTAAACATTGGAAGCTTGGGTGTATACAGTCAAAAGTAAATTTAAAGTATTAGCTCTATAATACTTTTTCAACAAACTTCTCTAGAGAGAGTACATTCTTAATGGTCTGGTTTGCACTAATATTAAAATAAGCAAATGGAACTCTGAGGAACCATAAAGCATAAAGGGTGACAAGAAAAATGGTCTGAAACAAATAATTTATTATAGATAAGACATGAAATGAATAATTCACATGATGGTCAAGAGATATCTATAGAGTAAGACGAAAATGATCATAAGTATGAAGTAGGGGGTGGGGAGGCGGGGAACAGAAGAGCAGCAGAGGGCCAAAACTATCAGACAATACTTGAGAATAGTGAATTTATTATTTATGCCCACCTACTTTCAAAATAGACTTTAAAGTTGTAATAAAAAGCAGAGAAGAAAGGAATGAAACCACGACACCTAAAACAGAGGTAAATGAAAACTGCAGAGGGGAAAATGTAAGAGAACTAATGGCAGTTAAGAGCCAAAATTTATTTCTGAGTTTCCTAGAAGGTAAGGAATGAGGAAAATACAATGTTACAGAGATAATTTCATCTAATAAAAAAACAACATAATAGGTTGTCAGAAGAGTCCTAGTACCTAGTAAAATACTTGATTGAGGTTTATTACACACTTATTAAAACAGTGACAACACTAAAGCACAGTCTTTCAAAATTCAACATTTTTTGGAACTTTTTATTGTGAATTGAGTGAAGGCTTATAGAGCAGATCATCAATTTTACCTTCAACAAACAGACACCTTGTTTCTTCTCAGTGATTGCAATCCCCTCCATACAAAAAGCTAGCTCACTTCCTCCCTGTGGTTCTTATTTTCATTCCACCCTCCTTTAAAATGAATTGTACATAGTTCTTTATATTAACTACTATCAAAAGAATAAGTCATAATATTACATTGCAGTTTCATGGAAATGTTTCTACAACCAGCTTTAAAAAAAATACTAGCATCAATATATACTAACTTTCTAGTAAGTCTATTGGATCCACGATTATGATTTAAGTATTCTAAAGGAGTTGTCATTCTTAATTGCAGCTATCCTTCTTGTGCTGTAAATACTGAAAACCAACTGCCATTAACTATTACTCAGTGAAATAATAAAAACACAGCAGAAATTCTGCTTCTTTCATGAAGGACCATGCTCCTAAAAAATTCATCAATCCTACAACACAACCTTGAATTCTATGCAAAATACATCAACGACCAACTTAGGCTCGGAAAAGTGAACACAGCAGAAATTTGGAAAACAAGCAGACATGGGTACATTTTTTTGGTTTTATGGCAGGAAACACGTGTGGGCATGAGACATGCTACATATGGCTCTCACAGAAAAATCTGCCACCTTTCCATTGAAAAACCAGAGGTAGGAGCCTGAGACAACCAGAGCAGCAAGAAAGAAGCAGAGAAGAATGCTATGCTATGTGTCTAAACTCAATTCCTGGCTGATGTCTGAACTACGCATGAGTGAGACAGACAGAACTCAATCTAGACTGAGACCTGAGATGCTGCCTGATGCAGGTGAGACAGACTTTGTCCAACATTTGCTCCACTGTATTTCAGAACTGGTGTGAACCAGTTAAGCCTTTGAACCGCTTCCCCCCGCCCCTTGTAAGCAGCTATGTATGTTGTGGGGGATGATAACTTGTCTCTTTAATTGCACAGGTGGGGAAGAACTTTATTAAAGAGATGTGTTTAAGGAACGACCCCTAAAGAATCTCATTCACATCTGGAAGTAGTTCAAAACCTGAGATTCTAGATTTGGAGATGGTGCTGTAATGGGATGAGGCTGGTGGGACCCTTAGGAAAGGCAGAACCACAAGATCAGCATATCAAACCCACCAGCCACTTCTCGGAAACCTTGTACAGGATTGTTGTGAGTCTGAACTAACTCAATGGTACTTAACAACAATAAAGGGTGAACTGAAGGAGCCCTAGTGGTGTAGTTGTTAAAGCTTTCAAGTACTAACCCCAAAGTCAGCAATACAAACCCAGCAGCCACTCCATGGAAGAAAGATGTGGCATCTGCTTCTGAACAATCGACGACAGCCTTGACAATCCTCTGGAGCAGTTCCTCTCTGTCCGACAGGGTTACTATGAGGCAGAGTCAACTAGACAGCAGGAGGTCTAGGTTTGGGTCTGGGTTACGAGTGAACTCTCAGAACCATCCTTAAGCAGATCAAAGATGAAAAGTAATTTTCACCAAAAGATGAAAGATATCATCCTAGATATTATTATAATTCTTTCCACAAATGAAACATTTGAAAATTTACCAATTTCAAAACTGAGTGCTAAAAGCCAAATGCTACATAACAGCAATGAAATAACTGCTGTGATGTTGGTGAAGAATATTAAACATTCTAGGGTCTTCCAGAAGACCTAACAAATCTGTGTTGCAAGACGTACAACGAGAATGTTCCTTAGAAGTGAGGGCTGCGAGATTTCATCTCACGCACGTTGGACATATTTAGCATGCCGGTAGAGTATCAATCCAAAAGCGAAAGACCCTCAGTGAGATGAACTGCTACACTGGCAGCAACAACTGGCTCAAACAGCACAGACTGTGTGGATGGCACAGGACAGGGCAGGGTTTGCTGTACACAGGGTCACTGAGAGTCAGGACCAACTCGACAACACATAGCAACAACTATAATAAAATAACCTTGTCTTAACTGAAAGAGTTTTGGAAGTATAAATACTACAGCCTAATAATTCAGGAAACAATGTTTACAAGCAAAGGAAAAAAATTAACAATAACCCAATATCAAGCAATTTCAAAATGATAATGATTTAACATAATGACTCTTGATATTCTTACTGAACATTATTGCAAACAATACAAAATGATTTTGAGTGGCTACTACCTTAAGCAAAGATACCAAGTTTTCATGTTTCTGTCACAGCACCAACCTGCTCTAGTTCTTGGATTTTGGCATCCTTAACTTGCAAAATTTCAAGAACTTTTCTGTCTTTAGCTTCAGCTTTCTGTTTTTCCCTAGGAACAAAAACGTATACATTGACAGTTTATTAGTCATAATTGGTAGCTAATCCTTTACATTTTCATATCCTGATTATGAATGTCATTGTACAGTATGAAAATTAAATTATCTGGGGCTGACAGCTCTTTCAGAATTAATCAGGAACCATATGGCAAGTGACAGCAACTTAAAACTATTGACAAGACAACTTCATACTGAAAGCAAAATTTTCATTTCCGGGTTTAGGTACATAATTCTAAATTCTTTAAAACATCATGTAACTATGATTGCAAAATTATACACACAGAATTATACAAAGAATAAGAATTTCATGTCTATAAGTAGCATTCTCAAAAAACAGAAGGCCAAGATTTGCTAATAAACAACAACCCAAACTAGACATTTTAGATTTAATCTGACGCTTACCTACATATCTAGTCTCTATGAAATACCACTAACGTTACCAAATGCTAACTGGATAATCAAAGAATGGTTCTCTGGCAATCAGTTTTCAGTTAATAGCTCTAGGTAACAAAATAATTTAAATATTGCAGATATTGTCTATCTTTAACAAATTAAAAAAAAAAAGATTTAAAAACAAAACAGGCTGCAAAGGAAGACTTAGATACATTGTACAACTGGTCTGATTATTTGTCAAATATCAAGTAGAAAACATTTACTGGATGCTGATACCTATATTTTTAAATATACTGAAAAAGAGGAATCTGTACCTTATCATACATGAATCACAGAATGTACAGAGAAGGAAGAAGGACAGAATCTTCACTTGGGAAACAGTGAAATGAAAAAAAGGCCTTATAATCTAAACTTCAGAAGATACAAAAGCATATCAGATACAGAGACAGCAATCAGAAATGCATACCACTGATGACAAAACAGAAATTCAGAAAATATCATTCTTGTTGATAAGTGCTGTTGAGTCATTTCCAACTCATACTGACCCTGGATGGTGTTTCCTAGGAGTACTGACACATCAGACCTTAAATTAGACTTCCCATAAACTGGCATAATAAACTCATACTTTGAGAGCACTGTAGGATAAGCTGCAAGGTTGGCAGTTGAAACCCACCAACTGCTCCTTGGAAACCCAATCCAAGGTCACTATGTGTGGGAACTGACTTGCCAGCCACGAACAAGAACAACAACTATGTTACTGTTGTTGTTGTTGTTAGGGGCCATCTACTCAGTACCGACTCATAGTGACCCTATCAAAACAGAATGAAACACTGCCCGGTCCTGGGCTAACCTCACAACTGTTGCCACACTTAACCCCATTGATGCCGCCACTTTGCCAATCCATCTCACTGGAATTCATCTTGTTTTTCTCTGACCCTCCACCTTAC